GCTTAGTTTTTTGAAAAAAATGTCAAAATTTTCGAAGAAAATTAAAAATATGCCTCAGAAAATATCAATATATAGACATTATCAAAAAAAAAAATACTTTTGATGTTCTTAGTGTTTCTTTTTTTGAAACATTTTTAAAGAATCTTTGGAATTTTAGCAATAATTCAATAAATCTTGGGAGTTCCTGGTGTTTGGATAAGTTATATAAAATATTATGCCTTTACCGTTACAATAGAAGCTTAGCTTTTTGGGAAAAAATAAGTTTTCAAAAAATTTGGAATATATACCGTAGAAAATATGAATCCATAAGCATTATCAAAAAATTGAAATTTTGGGATCTCTAGTACCTTTGTTTTGAAACATTTTTAAAGAATTTTCGAAGTCCCTGTTGTTTTGTTCTAGAAATAATTTCAATAAATCTTGGAAGTTTACGCTGTTTTGATAAATATTACTCGTATTGAATACTATACGTTTACTGTGATAATAAAAGTTTAGATTTTTGGCAAAAAAATCAAAATTTTAAAAAATTGGGAAAATATGCTTTAGAAAATATCAATCCACATGCATTATCAAAAAGTTGATATTTTAGAAACTCTAGTGTCTTTCTGTTGAAACATTTTTAAAGAATCTTGTGAGTCCCTGATGTTTTGAAAAATTTAATAGAAAATTATGCCTTTATTGTTAACAATAGAAGCTTAGATTTTTGGAAAAAATGTAAAAATTTTTAAAATAATTGGAAAATATGCCTTAGAAAATATCAATCCATAGGCATTGTCAAAAAAATTGAAATCGTGGTTTCCTTGGTGCCATTTTTTTGAAACATTTGCAAAGAATTTTCGAAGTCTCTCGATAAATTTTGGAAGTTCACGCTGTTTTGATAAATTTTATAGAATATTATGCCTTTAGTGCTAAGAATAGAAGCTTAGATTTTTGGAACAAAATAAACATTTTCAAAAAAATTTCAAAGATGCCATTGAAAATATCAGCCCACAGGCATTATCAAAAAAGTTGAAATCTTCGTGTCCCTGGTATCCTTTTTTGAAACATTTTTAAAGAATTTTCGAAGTCCCTGTTGTTTTGTTCTAGAAATAATTTCAATAGTTCTTGGAAGTTTATGGTGTTTTGACAAATTTTATGGAATATTATGTCTTTATTGTTACAATAGAAGACTTGATTTTTGATAAATGTCAAAATTTACAACAAAATTTGAAAATATGTCTTGGAAAACATCAGACCATAGGCATTATCAAAAAAATTGAAATCTTGGTGTCCCTAATGTCTTTTTTTTAACATTATTATGCATTTACTATTACAAGAGAAGCTTAGATTTCTGGAAAAAATGATAATTTCCAAAAATTTTGAAAATATCAATCCATAGGCATTATTAAAAAGTTGAAATTTTGGGATCTCCAGTGTCTTTTTTTAAAACATTTTTAAATAATCTTGGGAGTCTGTGGTGTTTTGATAAATATTATAGGATATTATGCCTTTATTGTTAATAATAGGAGCTTCAATTTTTGGAAAAAATACCAACATTTTCAAAAAAATTTAAAATATGCCTTAAAAATATCAGTCCATAGGCATTATCAAATAAATTGAAATTTGGTGTCCCTAGTGCCTTTTTTATTGAAACATTTTTAAAGAGTTTTCAAAGTTCCTGGTGTTTTGTTCTAGAAATAATTTCAATAAATCTTGAAAGTTCATTCTGTTTTGATAAATTTTATAGAATACTGTTATAATGGAATCCTAGATTTTTGGAAAAATGCCAAAATTTTCAACATTTTAAAATATATCTTAGAAAATATCAATCCATAGGCATTATCAAAAGTTGAAATTTTGGGATCTCTTGTCCCTTTCTTTTGAAACATTTTTAATTTTTTATTGTAAACAAAAGAGCTTAGATTTTTGAAAAAAATGTCAAAATTTTCGAAGAAAATATCAATATATAGACATTATAAAAAAAAAAATAACTTTTGATGTTCTTAGTGTTTCTTTTTTTGAAACATTTTTAAAGAAACTTTGGAATTTTAGAAATAATTCAATAAATCTTGGAAGTTCCTGGTGTTTGGATAAGTTATATAAAATATTATGCCTTTACCGTTACAATCGAAGCTTAGATTCTTGGGAAAAATAAGTTTTCAAAAAATTTGGAAAATATACTGCAGAAAATATGAATCCATAAGCATTATCAAAAAATTGAAATTTTGGGATCTCTAGTGTCTTTCTTTAGTCATTTTTAAAGAATTTTCGAAGTCTCTGGTGGTTTGTTCTAGAAATAATGTCAATAAAACTTGGAAGTTTACGCTGTTTGATAAATATTATTGAATACTATACCTTTACTGTTATAATAAAAGTTTAGATTTTTGGCAAAAAACCAAAATTTTAAAAAATTTGGAAAATATGTTTTAGAAAATATCAATCCACATGCATTATCAAAAAGTTGAAATTTTAGAAACTCTAGTGTCTTTCTGTTGAAACATTTTTAAAGAATCTTGGGAGTCCCTGGTGTTTTGAAAAATTTTATACAAAATTATGCCTTTATTGTTAACAATAGAAGCTTAGATTTTTGGAAAAAATGTAAAAATTTTTAAAATAATTGGAAAATATGCCTTAGAAAATATCAATCCATAGGCATTATCAAAAAAATTGAAATCGTGGTTTCCTTGGTGCCATTTTTTTGAAACATTTGCAAAGAATTTTCGAAGTCTCTCGATAAATTTTGGAAGTTCACGCTGTTTTGATAAATTTTATAGAATATTATGCCTTTAGTGCTAAGAATAGAAGCTTAGATTTTTGGAAAAAATTAAACATTTTCAAAAAAATTTCAAAGATGCCATTGAAAATATCAGTCCATATCAAAAAAGTTGAAATCTTCGTGTCCCTATTACCTTTTTTTGAAACATTTTTAAAGAATTTTCGAAGTCCCTGTTGTTTTGTTAAATAATTTCAATAATTCTTGGAAGTTTATGGTGTTTTGACAAATTTTATGGAATATTATGCCTTTACTATTACAATAGAAGCATAGATTTTTGGAAAAACATTTTTGAAAATATCAATCCATAGGCATTATTAAAAAGTTGAAATTTTGGGATCTCTAGTGTTTTTTTAAACATTTTTAAATAATCTTGGGAGTCTTTGGTGTTTTGATAAATATTATAGGATATTATGCCTTTATTGTTAATAATAGGAGCTTCAATTTTTGGAAAAAATGCCAACATTTTCAAAAAAATTTAAAATATGCCTTAAAAATATCAGTCCATAGGCATTATCAAATCAATTGAAATTTGGTGTTTCTAGTGCCTTTTTTATTGAAACATTTTTAAAGAGTTTTCAAAGTTCCTGGTGTTTTGTTCTAGAAATGATTTCAATAAATCTTCAAAGTTCATTCTGTTTTGATTAATTTTATAGAATACTGTTATAATGGAAGCATAGATTTTTGGAAAAATGTCAAAATTTTCAACAAAATTTAAAAATATATCTTAAAAAATATCAATCCATAGGCATTATCATAAAGTTGAAATTTTGGGATCTCTTGTCCCTTTCTTTTGAAACATTTTTAAGTTTTTATTGTAAACAAAAGAGCTTAGATTTTGGAAAAAATCTAAAAATTTTCGAAGAAAATTGAAAATATGCCTGAGAAAATATCAATACATAGGCATTATAAAAAAAAATAATAAATTTTGGTGTGTCTTGTTTTGAAACATTTTTAAAGAATCTTTGGAATTTTAGAAATAATGCAATAAATCCTAGGAGTTCCTGGTGTTTGGATAAGTTATATAAAATATTATGCCTTTACCGTTACAATAGAAGCTTAGATTTTTGGGAAAAAGTAAAAGTTTTCAAAAAATTTGGAAAATATACCGTAGAAAATATGAATCCTATTATAATTATCAAAAAGTTGAAATTTTAGAAACTCTAGTGTCTTTCTGTTGAAACATTTTTAAAGAATCTTGGGAGTTCCTGGTGTTTTGAAAAATTTTATAGAAAATTAGGCCTTTATTGTTAACAATAGAAGCTTAGATTTTGGAAAAACTGTAAAAAAATAAAAAAAAAAAAATTGACAGCATATCTTAGGAGATATCAATATATAGGCTTTATCAAAAAAACAAAAACTAAATCTTGGTGTCTGTTTCTCTATCTTTCTTTCGAAATATTTTTAAAGAACCTGCGGAATCTCTCGTGTTTTGTTTTACATAGAATTTAAATAAATCTTGCGAATTCCCGCTTTTTCAATAAATAATTTAGAATATTATGCCTTCGGGGAAAAATTAAAATAAAAAAATGAAAATATATCTTTGAAACTATCAAAACATAGGCATTATCAAAAAATTGAAATCTCGGGACCCCTAGTAACTTCCTTTTTGGAATTTTTTAACAAATCTTCGGAGTTCTTGGTTCTAGAAAGAATTTCAGTAAGTCTTGGAACTTCCTGGTGTTTATAAGGCCTTTACTGTTTTAGATTTTTGAAAAAAATTTTTTTTTGAAAAAAAAAACAAAAATATATATATCATCTTACAAACTATCTATCAATACATAGGCATTATCAACAAATTGAAATCTTGAGGTCCCTAGTGCCTTTATTCCGAAACATTTTTAAAGAATCTTCGGAGTCCTTGTGATTTTAATAAATTTTATAAAATATTGTGCCTTTACAATTAACAAAACAAGCTTTTTTGGCAAAAAAGTCAAAAACCTTTCGGTGTTGTTTTTTAATTAATTTTAGAAAATTTTATGAAATCTTGGCGTTTTATTTCGTTCCCTTTGTAGGTCGAGCACTCCAAACTCATAATTCTTCTCTTCAATGTTCATTAACTACCAACATTTTTTTTTTGCAGAGTAGGCAAGCAACGCTGCCCCAACCCCACCGACGTCTGCTGCGACAAGCCCTCAGACTCTCCCCAATCCAACCCCCACGAAGAACTACCCCCTTGTGGCTACTCCACCACCAAACTCAACTCCCGAATCGTATCCAAAACCACCGCCTCTTTCGGCGAACTCCCATGGAACCTCATCATCCAGGAAATAGCCAAAGACGAAGGCAACATCTACAAGTGTGGGGCGGCTCTCATCCACCCCAAAGTGGCAACAACCGTCGCCCACTGCGTTTTCGCGTACTCCGAGCAACCCGAAAAGCTCCTCGTGAGAGCAGGAGAGTGGAACGTTGACAGCGAAGACGAACCTCTTCCACTCCAAGAAAAAAACGTGGAAGAAATTTTGATTAACGAGTCCTACAATCCAAGAACTTTGCAGAACGATATTGCTTTGGTGGTACTTGCGGAGAATTTCGAACTCCGGGATAACGTGAGAGTTGTGTGTTTGTCGACTCCTTATGACATGATTGTTGAAAATGGGTGCGTTGCGAGCGGCTGGGGGAAAGACGCCCATGACTCGGGGAAGTACTCTCCCATTTTGAAGAAAGTCCAAGTGCCCATCGTATCACGGGAATATTGTCTGAGGATGCTAAGGGCCACGAAACTGGGTCCTAGGTTCCAGTTGCACAAGAGTTTCATCTGCGCCGGTGGCCAAAAGGGCAAAGATTCCTGTAAGGGTGACGGCGGGAGTCCTTTAATCTGTCCCTTGTTGGAAAACCAGGAAAGGTTTGTACAAATCGGGATCGTGTCGTGGGGAGTGGGGTGCGGGAATGAGGGTGTTCCCGGAATCTACGTGAACGTTCCCTACCATCTGGACTGGATCGAAGGCGAACTGAACGAAAGGGAACTCGACACGGCTTATTTTACAATTTAGACTTTTTATTGTTGTTCCATTGGAGTTTTTGTGAACAAATATTAAAGTTTTATTTATGTTGAAATAAAGGGATGTTTTTGGATGTTAATGAGGTGTATTTAAGCTAAATGAAATCGTTACGGTTGCTGGGTTACTCGGAGGATATCTTTTTATGGAGGTTTTTACGATAAAAGTCGAACGGGATTTGGTGCGGGTTTTAATTTTGTAATCTGTATCTCTCATGTTTTTGATTACGCGAACTCGGTAAATAGCTTTACGCGTGTAGATGATAATAAAACACTCTGGTGGATGATTTTCGTTTTTTCGGCCTTAGTAACTGGGGGGAATTGAGGGCAACAGGGTTTTAAATGAAAAAGTCTTCGTAAAGTTTATGTATTTTTTATGAGTAAACATACACATTTTATTCACATTGTTTACATAAAAAAAGAAGAGCTAAATTATTAGGGACAATTTTGCTTTTTGTTTAAAATAAGAGTGTAAAGATTGTTACTGAATTATTAAAAAAAGAATTATTATCAATGGATGAATTTTTTAGTATTTCAAATAAGCGAATTTTGAAAAGTCGGAGAGAACCCAGCAACCCGAACGTGCTCGCTGCGCTCGTATTTTACAGTTTTTTTGGTTTTCTAATTTTTCGATTCGATTCATTTTTTCTTCTTTCCAATTCTTTGATTCATTATTTTTTCTTGATTTTTAAGTTACTCGATTTCTAGTTTTTCAATGATTCAGTTTTTCATTTCTTTAGTTCTTCTATTTGCAATTTTTCGATTTTGCTATTTTTCTTTTCTTCAGTTTTCCGATTGTTTAGTTTGTCGATGTTTCAATTTACCGATTTGTAACTTTCGGTTTTTCAATTTTTTGGTTTTTCAATTTTTCAAAAATTTTCCAATAAATAGTGAAAATTGATCCAATCGACTCAAAATTGATAACAAATTGTAAATAATTTTCCGCCAGTTACAACTTCTAACTCGCCTTTACGACATCTGTTGAAATAAATATGAAAAGTGAATTCAAAATTAAAAAAAAAATCCAAAAAATGGTTAAAATTGACTAAATGGATCGAAAATTGGTGTCAAATTGTAGATAATTTTCTTCTAGGTACAAATTTGAAATCACCGTTGCGATATCTGTCCCAATAAATACGAAAAGTGAATTAAAAATTTTCAAAAATTTTCCAAAAAAATGGTTAAAATTTGTTCAATCTACCGAAAATTGGTGTCAAATTTTAGATGATCTTCCACCAGTTACAAAATTGACATCGCCGTTGTGATGATAACTGCTCCGATAATCACAAAAATTTTCGAAAATTTTCCAAAAAAGTGGTTAAAATTGGTTGAATCGACTGAAAATTGGTGTCAAATTGTAGATAATCGTCCACAAGTTACGAATCTGAAACCGCCGTCATGATATCTGTTCCAATTAATACGAAAAATGAGTTAAAAATTTTCAAGAATTTTCCAAAAACATCGTTAAAATTGGTTCAAGTCACTGTAAATTGGTTTCAAATTCTAGATACTCTTCCACCAGTTTCCAAATTGAAGTTGCCGTTGTGATATACATACACAAATAGTGAGTTCAAAATTTTCGAAAATTTTCCAAAAAATGGATAAAATTAGTTAAGCTACTGAAAATTGGTCTTAAATTTTAGATCATTTTCCGCCAGTTACAAATCTGACATCAACGTTACGATATCTGTTCCAATAAATACGAGAAGTGAGTTCGAAATTTTCAAAAATTTTCCAAAAAAATGGTTAAAATTGGTTCAAGTCACTGAAAATTGGTGTCAAATTGTAGATAATTTTCCACCAGTTACAAAATTGAAATCATCGTTGCGATAACTGTTCCGATAAACACAAAAAGTGACTTCAAAATTTTCAAAAATTTTCTAAAAAATGGTTAAAATTGGTGCAAGTCACTGAAAATTGGTGTCAAATTGTAGATAATTTTCCACCAGTTACAAACATGAAATCACCGTTTCGATATCTGTTTCAATAAACACGAAAAGTGAATTCAAAATTTTCAATAATTTTCCAAAAAAATGGTTAAAATTGGTTCAATCGACCGAAAATTGGTGTCAAATTGTAGATAATCCTCCGTTAGTTACAAATCTGAAATCACCGCTACGATGTGTGTTCCAATAAACACGTAAAGTGAATTAAAAATTTTCAAAAAGTTTCCAAAAAATGCTTAAAAATGGTTTAAGCTACTGAAAATTGGTCTCAAATCTTTGATTATTTTCCGCCAGTTACAAACCTAACACCAACGCTGCGATATCTGTTCCAATAAATACGAAAAGTGAATTCAAAATTTTCAAAAATTTTCCAAAAAAATGATTAAAAATGGTTCAATCGACAGAAAATTGGTGTCAAATTGTAAATAATTTTCTACCAGTTACAAAATTGAAATCATCGTTGCGATAACTGTTCCGATAAACACAAAAAGTGAGTTCAAAATTTTCAAAAAGTTTCTAAAAAATGGTTAAAACTGGTTCCAGTCACTGAAAATTGGTGTCAAATTGTAGATAATTTTCCATCAGTTACAAATCTGAAATCACAGTTTCGATATCTGTTTCAATAAACACGAAAAGTGAATTCAAAATTTTCAAAAATTTTCCAAAAAAATGGATAAAATTGATTCAATCGACCGAAAATTGGTGTCAAATTGTAGATAATCCTCCGTTAGTTACAAATCTGAAATCACCGCTACGATGTGTGTTCCAATAAAGACGTAAAGTTTATTCAAAATTTTCAAAAAGTTTCCAAAAAAATGGTTAAAAGTGGTTTAAGCTACTGAAAATTGGTCTCAAATTTTAGGTCATTTTCCGCCAGTTACAAGTCTGACATCAACTTTAAGATATCTGTTCCAATAAAAACGAAAAGTGTATTCAAAATTTTCAAAAATTTTCCAAAAAAATGGTTAAAAATGGTTCAATCGACAGAAAATTGGTGTCAAATTGTAAATAATCTTCCACCAGTTACAAAATTGAAATCATCGTTGCGATAACTGTTCCGATAAACACAAAAAGTGAGTTCAAAATTTTCAAAAGTTTCTAAAAAATGGTTAAAACTGGTTCCAGTCACTGAAAATTGGTGTCAAATTGTAGATAATTTTCCATCAGTTACAAATCTGAAATCACAGTTTCGATATCTGTTTCAATAAACACGAAAAGTGAATTCAAAATTTTCAAAAATTTTCCGAAAAAATTGTTAAAATTTATTCAGTCGACCGAAAATTGGTGTCAAATTGTAAATAATCCTCCGTTAGTTACAAATCTGAAATCACCGCTACGATGTGTGTTCCAATAAACGCGTAAAGTGAATTCAAAATTTTCAAAAAGTTTCCAAAAAAATGGTTAAAAGTGGTTTGAGCTACTGAAAATTGACCTCAAATTTTAGATTATTTTCCGCCAGTTACAAGTCTGACATCAATGTTACGATATCTGTTCCAATAAATACGAAAAGTGTATTCAAAATTTTCAAAAATTTTCCAAAAAAATGGTTAACAATGGTTCAATCGACAGAAAATTGGTGTCAAATTGTAGATAATCTTCCACCAGTTACAAAATTAAAATCGTCGTTGCGATAACTGTTCCGATAAACACAAAAAGTGAGTTCAAACTTTTCAAAAATTTTCCAAAAATATGGTTAAAATTTGTGCAAGTCACTGAAAATTGGTGTCAAATTGTAGATAATTTTCCACCAGTTACAAATCTGAAATCACAGTTTCGATATCTGTTTCAATAAACACGAAAAGTGAATTCAAAATTTTCAAAAATTTTCCAAAAAAATGGTTAAAAATGGTTCAATCAACAGAAAATTGGTTTCAAATTGTTGATAATCTTCCACCAGTTACAAAATTGAAATCGTCGTGACGACATCTGTTCCAATAAATACGAAAAGTGAATTCAAAATTTTCAAAAATTTTCCAAAAAAATGGTTAAACTTGGTTCAAGTCACTGTGAATTGGTTTCAAATTGTAGATAATCTTCCACTAGTTACAAAATTAGAGTCGCCGTCGCGATAACTGTTACGATAAACACAAAAAGTGAGTTCAAAATTTTCAAAAATTGTCAAAAAAAATGGTTAAAATTGGTTCAATCGACTTAAAATTGATGTCAAATTGTACATAATCCTCCGTTAGTTACAAATCTGAAATCACCGTTACGATATCTGTTCCAATAAATAAGAAAAGTGAATTGAAAATTTTCAAAAATTTTCCAAAAAAATGGTCTAAATTAATTCTATCTACCGAAAATTGGTGTCAAATTGTAGATAATGTTCAACCAGTAACAAAATTGAAATCGCCGTTGCGATAACTGTTCCGATAAACGCAAAAGGTGAGATCAAAATTTTCAAAAATTTTCAAAAAAAATGGTTAAAACTGGTTCCAGTCACTGACAATTGGTGTCAAATTGTAGATAATTTTCCACCAGTTACAAATCTGAAATCGCAGTTTCGATATCTGTTTCAATAAACACGAAAAGTGAATTCAAAGTTTTCAAAAATTTTCCGAAAAAATGGTTAAAATTTATTCAATCGACCGAAAATTGGTGTCAAATTGTAGATAATCCTCCGTTAGTTACAAATCTGAAATCACCGCTACGACGTGTGTTCCAATAAACGCGTAAAGTGAATTCAAAATTTTCAAAAAGTTTCCAAAAAATTGGTTAGAAGTGGTTTAAGCTACTGAAAATTGGCCTCAAATTTTAGATCATTTTCCGCTAGTTACAAGTCTGACATCAACGTTACGATATCTGTTCTAATAAATACGAAGAGTGAATTCAAAATTTTCAAAAATTTTCCAAAAAAATGGTTAAAAATGGTTCAATCGACAGAAAGTTGGTGTCAAATTGTAGATAATCTTCCACTAGTTACAAAATTGAAATCGTCGTTGCGATAACTGTTCCGATAAACACAAAAAGTGAGTTCAAACTTTTCAAAAATTTTCCAAAAATATGGTCAAAATTGATGCAAGTTACTGAAAGTTGGTGTCAAATTGTA